AGATGGGGGAGAGGTAAGGAGGAAAGGGGAAGAGGTGGGGGGGAGGTTGAGGAGGGGAGAGAGGGGAGAAGGGAGGGTTGGTTGGTTGGGGGAGGGCTGGGGGAGGGTGGGGGAGGAACAAGGGGCATGTGAGCAGCAGAGACGAACAGGTTTAGGACAAGCAGACACACACAACACAACACAATGGGCAAAGATTCCTCCTTTAGAAAACCTTCGCTTTAATGCACCTTCGCCCTCCCCCCCCTTTGTATGTACAGCGGCCTGCCATGCTTCACTTTAAAGCACGTCTGATTCGACCTGCTGTACGCATTACAAGCTCTTACCCGCTTTAACCTCTGCATGGACGACGGCCGGCCGGCCAGGCTTCACTTTGAGCATCTTTTCAAACATAAACCGCTGGACGCGTACTCCATACAAGCTCGTACTCGATACAAGCTCTTACCCGCTTCAACCTCTGCATGGACGGCGGTCTGCCAGGCTTCACTTTGAGCATCTTTTCGAACATGAATCGCTGGACGCGCCGCGGCACGCCCTCGAGTCGCCTCCCCATCTCGACTATATGCTCCATACCCTCCACGTCTAACTCGGGGTCCAGCCCTAACCCTAACCCTAACTCCTTTTCCTCCTCCTCCAACGCTGATGTCAGCTCCGCCACGTCAGCACTGATGGCGTCTGCGTTCGCCAGCGCAAACGGCCGGCCTTTCCCCTCATCCACGTCATCCTCCTCGTTCTCGTCATCAACCACACTGCTTTCGCGAAGCTTCGGCTCCGCTGCTTCCTCTCCTCCTCCCTCCACGTCACTCAAGCGGATCTGACGCGCTGGAGCTGACGTGTCGCTTTTGCGGTCCGAGATTCCCCCCGCTACATCCGCGTCACTCGCAGAAACCTCCCTCGCGGAAACCAGGCGGCTCGAAGATCCGATACGCGGATCGGATCTCGAATCTCCGTCAAACCCGCGGCCGGCGCCGCCTGTACTTTCCGAAGCGGTTGTGAGAGGGCGGTGCGAGAGCGCAAACGGGCGGGATGGTAACGGGGCCTCGAGACGGCGCGATGCGGGGAATGGAGAAGAGAATTTCGCGGGAATGTGGTGGTAGGGACGGGTGGGGAGGTTTGGAAGGGAGCGGGCGAGCGGGGTGGATGGGAGGCGGAGGGAGAGGAGCGAGCGGAGAAGGCGGTTGGAATGGCGAAGCGACGCCATGTGTTGGCTCAGGAACCCGCAGCCCGCTCCCTGCTGCTATGCCGCTGTTGCTACGCCGCTGCTGCTGCGCTGATTGCTGCTACGCCGCTGCTGCTGCGCGCACTGCTGCTGCGCTCCCTGCTGCTACGGTTTACTATGGTTTACTGTACATGCATAATTTTAGATTGATCAAATTCTGACGATGTTGCGGGAGCCTGCTTAGTCGAATCCCCGATATTAGCATGTTATATTGCGAGATCAAATTTCAAGCCTTTCGAGGATTTCAACATCAGACGAATATTTATGCTTCTCTTTTTTAAATAATTTCCAGCACAGGCTTCAACACCTCAACATCCTGGCAATATTTCGAACCAGGAAAATCTACATAACGTACCCTAACCAGCAATCATTGTCTCCTACAACGTCCCGCTTTAAGACACCATCACATAGTCACCACCACCAATCCAATCCGACGTGGAGTTGTTGACACGCGTTCTCAGTGTCAGCGCTTTGCCCACCAAAGCACTTGCGATGAGATGAGACAATTGTTTAGGAGCCTGAAAAATTTTATCCCCAGCTACAAACCATCATCAGGCCATGCTTTGCAGCATGCTGGTGAAGTCTAAACCGACCACTGGGGTGTTGTCGTGCGCCCTCAACGTGTGTGCCTTGGCCACCATCCAAGGCACTTCTTGAGTTCTCCAGAACAAACCCGGCTCACAGTGTGTCATGCCATGCTTTGCAGCATGCTGGTGAAATCTAAACCGACCACGGTGGTGTTGTCATGCGTCCTCAACGTGCGTGCCTTGGCCACCAGGGCGCTTGCCATTGCCTCTGCCGTGGTGCCCTCCCCTCCCCCCTCCTCCTGCTCCTTCCGGGCCTGGAGAACATGCAGCAACGGGGGGACATGGTGCGAAGAGGGATATGGAGAATGAGAAAAATGTAAGGACGTGAAAACATGTTCGCCAGCACCTCTGCTGCGGCGCCCTCCCGGCCCCCCTCCTCCTGCTCCTCCCTAGCCTGGAGAATATGCGGCAACGGGGGGACATGGTGCGAAGAAGAGTATGGAGAATGAGAAACATGTAAGGACACTCGCCAGCGCTTCTCTTGTGGCTCCCTCCCCTCCCCCCTCCTTCTGCCCCCTTCGAGCCTCGAGGACATGAAACAACGGGGAACATGGTGCGAGGAGGGATGTGGGGAATAGAGAGAGCGTCATGCAACGAGGGAAGTGTCTTGTCATCCAATAGACTGTCTCGATATAGCTTGCTTGTAAAGCTTGCCACCATCTCTATACTCTCTGATCAACTCGCACATATACGGTTGCTGGCTCACCTCTAGTGCCACTTGGATTGCTCGTTTAATTGACATCACGTCCCATAAGCCGTCACTGTACACATAAAAATCTAGTTTTGAGGCGCCTCAAAACTAGACTCGCCTCGAGTGCCACTTGGATTGCTCATTTGGTCGACATCACACCCCATAAGCCATCAAGCAGTAACAAATCTAGGTTGCTCAAATCCTTCAAGTCAAGTTGTAGGTGCTCTTTGAGAATTCTCAAAAATCACCTGCTGGCTCACCTCTAGTGCCACTTGGATTGCTCGTTTGACTGACATCACATCCCATAAGCCGTCACTGTGCACATAGAAGCAACCATGCATGCATTCATGTGTAAGCACCCGCATACAAAGAACAGACAAGCATGCAGACCACGGCATGGGAACGTGAGGGAGGGAAGCATGGCTTTTGAGTCGACCCAAAAGTCGCCTTGCATGCACCCGCACACAAAGAAAAATTTAGAGGCGACCCAAAAATAGACTCCTCACAAAGAACAGACAAACATGCAAACCAAGGCCCGTGAACGTGAGGGAAGGAAGCATGGTGGAAAAGAGCACGATAGATGTTTCAAAATGCAATGGCGGTTAGGGTTCATCCTAGGCCTGCTCAAACCATAACCCTAACCCGGTGCGTGATTGTAGGGGCTTGGAACCAAACTCCCTTACACGCCCTCATCTCCTGCTTTTGAGTCGACTCAAAAGCAGACCCTATTCAAACCATAACCCGAACCCGCAGGTGCGTGATTGTAGGGGCCTGGAATCAAACTCCCTTACACGCCCTCCTCTCCTCTACTCCCAACCCTCTCACCTTGCAATGACCCCGACAACTGGCTTGCTCGCCTCCCCCTCTGGCACGGGCAGCTGCAGAGGCGCGTGTATGAAGGGGTCTGAGGAGAGCCCCACGTCCTGCTGCTTGAGGAACTTGTCGCCAAACACACGCGCGATGTTCATGCCTGCAATTGTTGGGGGGGGTGGTAGGGTGGGGGAGAGCGGACGAAGGTGGGGGGATGGAGGCACGTTATGCGAAGACTTCAGAACATGAATGGGTCCGAGGAGAGCCCCACGCCCTGCTGCTTGAGGAACTTGTCACCAAACACACGCGCAATGTTCATGCCTGCAATTGTGGGCAGGGGATGGGAGAAGGGGGAGGAATGGGGAGTTTTTTAGAATTCTCTAAAACCGATCACAGAGAAGGGGGAGGAATGGGGAGTGGGGAGAAAGGTTGGTGAGATAAAGGTGGGTGGGATAAAGGCATGTTATGTGAAGCCTTAAACCATTAGGGGTTCTGAGCTGAGGACAGCCCCGCCCCGCGTCCTGCTGCTTGAGGGGCTTGTCCCCAAACACATGCGCAATGCTCATGCCTGCATCCTGCTGCCAGTCAGCGTGTGAGTCTGTGCTTCCACCCACCGCACATTCACCACATCATGTCAATTCACCGCACATTCACCACATCATGTCAGCTCACCGCACATTCACCACATCATGTCAGCTCACCGCACATTCACCACATCATGTCAACTCACCGCACATTCACCACATCATGTCAACTCACCGCACATTCACCACATCATGTCAACTCGCCGCACATTCACCACATCATGTCAGCTCACCGCACATTCACCACATCATGTCAGCTCACCGCACATTCACCACATCATGTCAACTCTCCGCACATTCACCACATCATGTCAACTCGCAGCACATTCACCACATCAGGTCAGCTCACCGCACAGCCGGGTATCCCCCTCGCGCATGGGCTTGCCGATGGACGCCAGCCTGTCCTTCTCCACCGGGCCGGTCAGCCGGTGGTCCTCCGTCATCTGCACCACGTCCTCCTCGCTCGCACTCCCGAGCCTGCACGTGGGAGACACTCGGAAATGGGGGGAATAATCGCTGCAAGGGAACAGGCCCTGTCAGGCGGTGCTCCCCCGCCATCTGCTGCACCCCGCGCTCGTGGCTCGCACTGCCCAGGCTGCAGCGCGGACGGGAAGCAAGGCAAGAGCAACAAGGGGATATGCCTGTCAGGCGGTGCTCCCCCACCATCTGCTGCACCCAGCACTGCTCACTGGGGCGGCCCAGGCTGCAAGACATGAGGTGGGGAGAGCAGACAGCAAGAGGGGATGTGGGAGGCCCTGTCAGCCAATGGCTCTAAGTCGTCCCACTGCCCACCCATGGATGCCCACCCATGGATGCCCACCCATGGTTGCTCAGCCATGGTTGCTCTACTGCCCAGGCGAGCACCACAGTGGCAGCACAGCCCCTCCCAACCCTTGCATCCCCTCCCTTGCATCCCCTCCCTTGCAACCCCTACCAATCCTGCACCAGAATTTTAACGTCCTCCTTATCCCAGCACTCACTGCAAATCTCCCAGGTAAGCTGACTGCACCCACAACTGGTGGGGAAGCAATCAAACTATACCCCAGAGTCACAGTTTCACAGGGTTCCTATGCCTCCTCACTTCTCCGTACCCCAGCACACAGTGAGAATCCCCCACCTTGGCTGCCTGCACCCACAACCGCAGCGGTAGCTGGAAGACAACAGATTCAAAACCACCAAGTATCTTCCTTTCTTATCCCAGCACACAGTAAGAGTCCCCCAGGTTGGCTGCTTCCACTGTGTTGTGTTTCTGAGCATTCTAAAAAAACAAAACACATTCTTGCTTCCACCCACAGCCGGTGCGGGGGCTGTGCCACTTGGCAAACTGAACCTATGGCTGGAAGGCCTTCCACACGAGCAGCACGGTGGCAAATTGGCAATGCATTCCGCCTATCTCTAACACCTCATCCCTCTATACCTCTGCACACCCCTTGCCCCTGCATCCCCCTTCCCTTGCATCCCCCTGCCCTTCCCTTGCATCCCCCTGCCCTTCCCTTGCATCCCCCTGCCCCTCCTTACCCCAGCACGCTGTGGGAGTCTCCCAAATTAGCTGCCTGCACCCACAGCCGGTGCGGCGGCTGAGAGGCCTTCCACACGAGCAGCACGCACCCCTCGTCCCCAGCCTTGCATAGCCCTATCACTGCTTACCCCAGCACGCAGTGTGAGTCCCCCAGGTTGGCGGCCTGCACCCACAGCCCGTGCGGCGGTTGGAAGGCCTTCCACACGAGCAGCACGGTGGCAGTGCAGCCCTCATCCCCAACCCTGCATTTCTCTAAGCTACACCCCAGCCCCTTGCTCACCCCAGCCCCTTGCTCACCCCAGCACACAATGCGAGTCTCCCAGATTAGCGGCCTGCACCCACAGCCGGTGTGGCGGCTGGAAGGCCTTCCACACGAGCAGCACGGTGGCAGTGCAGCCCTCGTCCTCGTTATTGAGCTCCTCCTCCGTGGCCTTGAAGGCTGCCTTGAGCACGTCCGTGGCGTTGCAGCTCATGCGCACCACCACGTGCTTGCCTCCCTTGAGCAGCTCCTGAGAGAGTTTGTCCGGGAAGATTCTGGGGGAGGGAAGAGAGGAAGGGGGGGAAACGGAACATCAGGAAAGAAGGCCGCTCGGAGCTCCTCCTCTGTGGCCTTGAACGCCGCCTTGAGCACATCCGTGGCGTTGCAGCTCATGCGCACCACCACGTGCTTGCCTCCCTTGAGCAGCTCCTGAGAGAGTTTGTCCGGGAAGATTCTGGGGGAGGGAAGAGAGGAAGGGGGGGAAACGGAACATCAGGAAAGAAGGCCGCTCGGAGCTCCTCCTCTGTGGCCTTGAACGCCGCCTTGAGCACATCCGTGGCGTTGCAGCTCATGCGCACCGCCACGTGCTTGCCACCCTTCAGCAGCTCCTGGGATAGCTTCTCAGGGAATATTCTGGGGGAGAAAGGGGTGGACAGAGGGGGTAGATACAGGGCGGGAACATCGGCGTTGCAGAAGTAGAGAGAACAAAAGGGGGGGGAAGGGGAAGGGGGCGGGAAGAGAGTGGGGGCAGAAGTCAGGGAGGGGAGCAGCAGAAGCAGTGAGTGACACTGCAGACTCATGCGCGCGACCACGTGCTTGCCATCATCATCCCGTGCCACAACATACAACGTCACATCCGTTATAATGATGCATGCATTGCATAGTCACAACAACCAAAAGTCACCTCACCTCTTGACGTTATCCGCACACTGCCTGCCAGCGTGGCCGTCAAACACACAGCAGATGCCGATCTGTCGGGAAGGGGAAAAGATTTATCGGAAATGGGATTTGGGGGGAAAGACATGCAAACTGTCATAGAGGGAGGCAAAGACTGGGGGAAAACCAGTCACACAGGAGCAAGCAAACCATATGCACTGGTCATGAGCAACCAAGCACATCAGAGAACCTCATAAACAAGCCCCTCTCACACATCCCTCATCCCTTGTCACTAACGTCCTGCACATCCCTCATCCTCAGGGGCCGTTCGCACAGAGGCACATCCTCCTCCATGGGCAGCGGCTTGCCTGCCTCTCTTGGTGCTATCCCCGCATGGTGATATTATATGATATTACACCCACTCGTGAGGAGTCTGTTTTTGAGGCGCCTCAAAAACATGTTACACCCACTCGTGAGGAGTCTGTTTTTGAGGCGCCTCAAAAACATGTTACACCCACTCGTGAGGAGTCTGTTTTTGAGGCGCCTCAAAAACATGTTACACCCACTTGCATCTCACAGACCCCCATGCACTCTCCTCCTGCAGCCCCCTCAGCGGCCACTCGCACAGCGGCACATCCTCCATGGGCAGGGGCTTGCCTCCCTTGATGCTGCACCAAGGCACGCTCATGCTCTGCTCTGCACCCCCTTCACTGACACAATGCCTACTCACGTCCTGCAGCCCTCTGAGGGGCCATTCGCACAGCGGCACATCCTCCATGGGCAGCGGCTTGCCGCCCTTGCGCGCCCGCATGGGGTCTGCTGCTATGGCGATGTCGAATGGGGCGTCGGGACACGGTCTCTCCACCTTGCTCGTATCTGCCAGTAGGCGCACCTGGGTAGATGGGAGGGGAAGAGGGGGAGAGGGGAAGAGGGGACGAGGGGAAGAGGGGGAGAGGGGAAGAGGGGAGAGGGGAAGAGGGGGAGAGGGGAAGAGGGGGAGAGGGGAAGAGGGGGAGAGGGGAAGAGGGGGAGAGGGGAAGAGGGGGAGAGGGGGAGAGGGGGAGAGGGGGAGAGGGGGAGAGGGGGAGAGGGGAAGAGGGGGAGAGGGGAAGAGGGGGAGAGGGGAAGAGGGGGAGAGGGGGAGAGGGGGAGAGGGGGAGAGGGGAAGAGGGGGAGAAGGGAAGAGGGGAGAGGGGAAGAGGGGGAGAGGGGAAGAGGGGGAGAGGGGAAGAAGGGGAGAGGGGAAGAGGGGGAGAGGGGGAGAGGGGAAGAGGGGGAGAGGGGAAGAGGGGAAATGGGAGCGCCAATTACTGCGTGAGGGGCTTGCCGCCCTTGCGCACTCGCATGGGGTCCATGGCTACAGCGATGTCAAGGGGAGCGTCAGGGCACGGTCTCTCCACCTTGCTCGTGTCTGCCAGCAGGCGCACCTGGATGGCGGGGAGGGAAGAGGGTGGAAGATAGCGCGTGCCATCACCACAAGGCAAAGGGGACTCCATTAAAACTCTAAAAACTCTCAAAAAGCGGGTTCCAAAATTGACTGCATCAGCCCCAAACCACCAGAATGCGCGACTGCGACCTGCACAGGGTCACATACCGCCATCCGCCAGCTGGCGTTCCCCTTGCTCATTTGGCTGCAATGAACCCACCCACACACCAAAATGTATTTCTGAGAATTCTAAAAAAACATCCTGCTATAAACCCGCCCACGCACCAGAATGCGCGAATGCGACCCGCAAGTGGTCACATCCCCGTCCGACAGCTGGCATTCATCTTCACATAGAAGTTTTCTTCTTTCTTCATCATCCATCCACCCACCCACCCTCTCACCAGAATGCGCGACTGCGATCCGCACGTGATCACATCGCCGTCCGCCAGCTGGCACGGCCGCCCCTCCGTGCGCTCGCCCTCCTCATCCGCCTCTGCACTGATCGTCACATCGTTCAGTAGGGTGCCGTTTAAGGAACCGCGGTCCACCGCCTCCCACCGCCCCGACTGTGGGATGCAGGGGAAGAAAAGCGGGGTTGGGGGCGCAGGGGGGTTTGGGGGGGGAGGAGGGGGGGCTGGGCTGATTCCTGAGTCGACTGAGATATACTTTTGAGCCGACTCAAAAGTCATCTCGACTGAGATACGCATTCCCCCTTGTGCGCTTGCCCCCCTCGTCCGCCTCTGCGCTGGTGGTCGTCACATCACATCGTGTAGTAAGGTGCCGATGAGGGGCCCCCAGTGCACCCACCACCTCCCACCGCCCTGACTGAGAAATTGAAAGGTTTGCGTAAGGAAGGGAGAAGGGCAGGAGGCGTTTATTGGGTCACTCAAAAGGAAGGAGCGTCAGGGTACCAACCTGCTCCCCACGACCCGACCGACCAGGAGGTAGAGAACAGGTTGTGGAAGAAAGGGGGGAAGGGAGGGAGTCGTTTATAACATCCACTCAACAGGCATGGCGCCACCTTTTTTAGGCCTCTATTTAATGGAAAAAAAAAAGAGTTCAAACTCACCAGCGCGTTCCAGGTGACATAGGCGTGTTTGCTGGACACCTCCCCGTCGTTCAGCTGCAGATCGTTCGCCTTCACCCGCCCTATGGTGGCAGACGGCCAGGGGTCCAGCTTCTCGTTCTTCAGCACCAGCTTGCTGCCCGACGCCGGCCCGCTGATCACCTCGAGCACCAATGTGGCGCCTGGCGATAGGGAGGTGAGGGCGGACATGAGGGTAGGGAATAGAGTGAGATCAAGCCTCCGGCCTCTCGTTCTCCAGCACCAGCTTGCTGCCCGACGCCGGCCCGCTGATCACCTCGAGGACCAATGTGGCGCCTGGGGGGGAATCGGGGGTGCAGATGAGGGCACCAGAAGGGAGAGATGGAGAGGTGGAGTAGTGGAATCATCATTCAAATGACTGGTCCAGAATCTCGTTCTTCAGCACCAGCCTGCTGCCCAGCGCGCTGATCACCTCCAGTACTAGTAGCGTGGCGCCTGAAGGTCAGACCTTCAGACCCTAAACAAAGGGAGGAACAATGGCTCAATCCATGGCACATAGCACTAGAGTGGAGTCATTTTTTAGACTTCTCAACCATAAAAGGAGCACATCAAAGGGAGGAGCAATGGCTCGATCCATGGCACAAAAAACTACCCCGTTCTATCGCCATGGCTTGATCCACCTTTCAACCCGCCTGCCCCACAACCCACCTTCCTTCGTAGCCGCATTCTTTGCAGCAGAAGCAGCAGGGGAAGCAGCGGCAGGAACAGCAGAAGCAGCAGCAGCAGTAGGGGGTGCCTCTGCACTCTCGTCCCCCTCCACCCCCTCCGTAGCATCATACTCCCGCACAGTCGACTCCCCAAACTTCACCCTTCCCCACCGCGCTCCGCCCTCCATGAGGACAAACACCCTTAGTTCCCTTTTCTCTACGGCTTAATCCACCCACAGTACTGGCCCACAGCCCACCTTCCTTCTTAGCCGCCTTCTTAGCAGCAGTGGCAGAAGGGGAAGCAGCAGCGGGAACAGCAGAAGCAGCAGCAGGGGCTGCCTCTGCACTCTCGTCTCCCTCCACCCCCTCCGTAGCATCATACTCCTGCACAGCCGATTCTCCTAAATTCACCTCCCCCTCTAGGCTACCGCGCTCCACCCTCCATGAGGACAAACACCCTTAGCTCCCTTTTCTCTACGGCTTAATCTACCCACACCTACCTGCCTGTCCCACAACCCACCTTCCTTGTTAACCGCCTTCTTTGCAGCAGTCGCAGCAGGGGAAGCAGCAGCGGGTACAGCAGCAGCTGCAGCAGCAGCAGCAGGGGGTGCGTCTGCGCTCTCGTCCCACTCCACCCCCTCCGTAACATCATACTCCCGCACAGTCGACTCCCCAAACTTCACCCTCCCCTGCCTGCCGCGCTCCCCCCTCCATGAGGAGGACATACCCTTTATCAGTTATCAACCTTTTCTCTACAGCTCAATCCACCCACCCACCTACTACCCGCCTGGCCCACAACCCACCTTCCTTCTTAGCCGCCCTCTTTGCAGCAGTAGCCGCGGGGGTAGCAGCAGGAACAGCAGACGCAGCAGCAGGGGCTGCCTCCGCACTCTCGTCCCCCTCCACCCCCTCCGTAGCATCATACTCCCGCACAGTTGACTCCCCAAACTTCACCCTCCCCTGCCGCGCCCCCCCCTCCTTCCTCGCTCTCTTATTCGCCGCTGCAGCCGCCGCCGCTGCCTCCTCTGCTGCCTCGGCCTCAGCCTGCCGCCGCTCCTCCTCCCACTGCTTCTGCCGCGCCGCCCGTGCCGCTTCGTCTGCTGCTTGTTGCTCGGCAGGGGGCTGCGAGGGGGGAAAGGACTGCTGCTCTATGTCCTCCGTCTCGTCGCCCCAGTCCTGGTTTGGGGACGGGGGTAGAGGGGGGGTTGGGGGAAGGGGAGGGGGGAAGAGGGGGGGGAGGAGGGGGGGGGGGGGGGGGTAAAGGTGAAAATTTGAGTTAGAATGTCAGCCAAACTCTGTCGCCTCCAGGGCTCGTCTGCTGCCTCGGCTTGTGCCTGCCACCGCTCCTCCTCTGCAGAGGGAGGTGGTTGCGAGGGCGGTATCTCCAAGAGGGAGATGGTCGGGGGAAGGACTGCTGTTCCAGGGCCTTGATCTCGTCGTCCCAGTCCAGGTTGGGGGAGGGAGAGAAAGAGAGAGTGAGGAGAGGATGGAAAATATTGCGCTGCCCGGGTTTCTCAGTTCCCTCCCATTGTGTTTCGTGCCGAGAGGGAAACGTGTCTTTCGGGCAGACTGACTGAAAAGATTGCTCCTACCCGAGAGATGTCGAAACGCCCACTCCAGAAACGCGCGAAACCCCTACCTGAGAAAACAGCAGCGGCACGCGAGTTTCGCCGTTAGTAGCCGCTCCAGCTGCTCCTGCTGATGACGTGCCAGGCCCGTCGTCCCCATCCCCCCCTCTCCGCTTTTTCCGCATGCAAAGGTAGCAAACCCCAATGGCGACTATCACGCACACGCTAACACTCGCGATCATGACGCGCGAGGAAGGAGCCATGTCGGAAATAACTGTGCGAGTATTACCGGTATTCGGATGCGAATCTAGGAAATGGTTGAGAAATCCGACGGTGGAGAACGCGGGAAAGAAAGATGCGGCGAGGGATTGCGGGAACGGGAAGTTGTGGTTCGCGCGGGAAAAGAGGGATTCCGGCGCGTCGCTGCTGCGCCAAGTGCGGAGCGGTTGCCACGTGGCGGCTGGGGATGGTTCCAGCAGCATGGACCGAGAAATGCGGTGTTGGACCATTCAGGAAACGACAAGCGGACGAACGGATGAATGCGAAAGGACGAAGCTCGAATCCGAACGTAGAAAGCTCCACTATCACATTTCAAAACCGGGACGAGGTTCGGCTAGGTATCGTCCGGGGAAGTGAAGACGACCCTGGACAGGGAGTAGAGCGGAAATAGTTATACCGAAGAGGAAGCAAAGGTGTACTACTGTAGCGAAAACTGTCTGGTGGGGGATGGGTATATGCGAGCGCAGGCAGGGTCGGTCTGGTGGAGATCAGAGAATCACGTCGTGAAGAACGGCTTGGATGGAGATCGGAAAACGAGTCCACGAATGCTGACGCTTGTTTGACAGAAGAGAAGGGAATGTTGGCGTGAACGCGAATGGAACGACAGCTCCTAGAATCAGCGACACGCTGCTAGGCGGAACGGAAGCGGAGTACTGTAACTAGGTTAGGCGTGGTCTGGCTTCATTGCAGGGGGCCACAGAACTGCCGAAGGACCAAGGAACATATATACGGAGAGTCAGGGGGTGTTCCGAGCTCTGAGGTACAGGTCTCGTGAGACAAGACAATCGCGTGTCAAGGAGTAACCTTGGAAGTCTTGCCCAGTGAAACCGATACGAGTTCACTTCAGTCTGACACGTTATACGCAAATGCTAAACCTCTTGTGCGGACCTCTTATGGTGTTTGGAACCATACTATATTTCCAAATTACTGTACACAACAAATGCTTTTGTGAAGCCAAATGTAATAAAAATGAGTATGAGCACCTGAATTCCACGAGGCGAATATGGCATGATACAAATCCGGTATATGAACGTAACTTTTCCCCCTGTTTGCTGGCTCGTGCTTATTTGGCATGCGTTGCTGACAGTCTTGTGAGCTCCTCTGCAAGGGCCATTGATGAGATGACAAATTTGAGAACAAACAGACACCACAAAGGAAGGTGAGAATATACGACTGGTGTTAAAAAAAAAGGGGGGGAAAAACGGAGACCAAAAGGTAAAAAACGCAAGGTGAGTTCAGCATTCCCTCAGACCTTGCTTCTTCTCCTTGAGTGTACTGGTGTCTGTGAGGAAGAAAATTGCTCCACGCTTCTGATATGCAGTCTGTAAACAATGGGGTGATGAAGAGGAGTCTCGGCCTACTCAGTACTAATTTGATGGGACAAGAAGTAAGGGGGCTCATATGACAGTACACATGGCAGTGCTGTGTGACGGAGCATGAGCGAGCTATGCCACTCCCAAACGGAACGTGCCATGATTCCGCATACAGAAGCAAAGAACCAAGGACTTAGATTCATCTCCCAATCTCATTCATATCGGCGCACAGATGTGCCACTATGGCCCAGGTGGTACTTACCCGGCCAGAGGGCAGAGAGGAGAGCTCAGCACAGGCCACTTGCAATTCCTGCACCTGAGCAGAGTAGGTGCAACACAGGTGCGTTGGTGCTTTGTTCAGGACTCAGGGGCATCTGTAACGAGCTGAGCATATCAAGGACGGAGGGGCTTGATCTGAAGAGCACATGAAAGCAGAGGTGAGGGCAGAGTCAGTGAGCAAAACGACGGGAAATTAGGGTAACGGGCCGGTGGTAGTACCTTGGCGGTCAACTCCTTCTGCTGTTGTGTGCTGCCAGCCATCATACGGCGGAAGGATCTGCTCGCAGAGCGCGATCTGCGTCTATTAATATGCAGCAAATGCAGTCCTTAATAGAATGTTGAGCTACGGCCGACTCTCTAAAAAAGCACTGATGTGCTCGAAATGGTCGCGACTTGTGGACTCGGTTCGCGCCAAGGGAGATTAGAGCAGAGAAAAGGGGACGGTTTCAAGCTAAGGCTAAAAAATCCTTTGTCCTGTCTTTCTTTCTTCTTGTACTGTTAGCTAATAAGGGCGAGCGACATTTGGCTCAATTTGCCCTCGCTCATTCCGCGAGCTCAGTTCGCGAAATTGAGCCGCGGGGGGGAGGCTTGAGTCAGGATCACGGAGGGTGTAACAGGGTAGTGGTGCGAAAACAAAACTCTCCGCAGCAATTCGAGGTTGTCGCGATTCTGTTTCGTCATTGGTTTGTTTATTCTAGCGAATATTTTCGCTGGCATCTCGCGGGGCTTGTTTACATTTGAGCGCGGCTCAATGTTCGCATGCCATTTCTGCACGAAAGTGAGTTGCGGGCTCGGTTTTGGCCCCGAATCCAGCCAAATGTTGCCCGCCCTAATGGTTTTTTAGTATGCATTTGGTGCGTTTGATGTTAATACGCGTAACGAGCGTCCATGCATGCCCAATCACTGTAGTTGGATGGTTTTACTGTAGGTAGAAACAAGCAATTTCACCCAACTGGCCATTGGCAGCGAAGGCTGCGACGGCTCCGCCAGCTGCACCGACATCGTTCGCCGTGTCGCTCAAGCTGTGACGCCACGTCGGATCAGCGCAGGGGAGTGGCCCACCAGGGGGGTACAGTAGGTTGGGTTCGCGACAGGGCGCTTCCAAAGTGAACTTTTTCGTTTTAGGTTTCTGGTGCAGTCCGGTGTGCTGCAGCTTGCTATAGGTTCTTTACTTTACGGCTATTTCAAGTACGGTACAATTTTCAAGAAATCCCTTTGGAATCGCCCTCAGGGAATTCTTTCTGTTCCAATCCGACGGCTCGGGCCAACGGCAGCCGAGCAGCGCAAGGGGGCGCTCGAGGTGCCACAAGTTGAGGCGTGCTGCTGTCCCTGCTGGGAAGGCTGGGCTGTGATTGCTTGATCCATACCAGAATCTGTGGGTTTGGGGGGGGGGGGGCGTTGATGGGGGATGTTTTCGAATTCCCCCAGCTTCTTTCTGCCAGCATGTTCCTCTCGCCAGGCTATTGACCAAACCCCAGCTGGGTGGAGGTCCCTTGGGATCATCCTCTTGCCCGTTCCCGCCAGTCCCGTCTCCTCCTCTGCCCTCGGTAACTCCACTTCGACTCGCCATCGCCACTAACAGCTTCTCGAGGACTCCATCTAGCAATTCCTGGTCGTTGGTGTCTTTCGATTTAGTCCATTTATGTCACTGTCACTCGAAGCCACCAACACGCATCGCCATTGATTTAGCATTTTCGTTCTCGGCCGGTTGTGAGTCATTGGCTCATAATCTCGTTGTGGTGTGCTCGGGTATGTGAACCGCATTACCCTTCGACGCCAACGTTCAGCTTCTCGCGTTTGGTACACCGAGAGATACACGTGCATGGCTGCAGATTGCGAGGCTTCGGGGATTGTTTATGCTGATATTAGCCTAGACGAAGCAAAACGACACCGCAGGCGAGTCAACTTAGGGAACACAGGCATTTTTAGCAATCGACGCGTGGACGCGTCTCCCGTGTCAGGAGCAGTAGCTGACGACTCGGCATCGCATTCCAATCCAAGAGAAATCATGGCCGTACGTCGTATCAGTGATATTGCGCCGAACATGCGACACGTCGGAGAGCGGCAGGCCCAAGATTCGGAAGCACGCGCTTCGCCACTGAGGCGAGAAGCAATAATAGACTCCGAGTCCCACGCAGGCGCACCAGCTTCAGTGAGCAGCTCAATAGCGGGGATAAGGGAGGAACGTCGGGAAAGGCGTTTGAGGTCGAGAGGCATTTCCTTGGTGACTGACGAATTAGCCTCGGAAGCGGTGACCGCGGCGGCAGCAGCAGCGGCAGTGCGACCAGTCACGCCCAGGTCGGCCTCGCTGCCGATTACGTCCGTTTCCGAAAATCCTTTACCGTTGGTTTTGCTCAGGGCATCAACGGCCCTCGTTTCTCCGTCAAGTGCCGCCGCTGGGCCGTCAGCTTCCATCTTTGGACCGTCAACGGTCGTCGGTGGGCCGTCAACTGCCGCCGCTTCTCAAGGAAGCGCGGGAAAGGAGCGCCGCAAGTCGCGCGGCGGCTCGATGCTGCTGGATGAGATGCTGCTGGAGAGCGGCCCTGTGCCAACCAAGGCAAAGCTCAACCGGGGGAGGTCGTACTCGAGGGGAGGACTACCCGCGGCTCTCGCGGCCGTAGCTGATGAGGCGACTGCTGCTGCCGCAGCGGCTGCTGCGGCTGGTTGTGGTGGTGGTGGAGGTGGTGCTGATGGTGGCTTGCGAGAGGTGGGTCTTGTTTTCATAAGGTGGTTCCTTCTGACCTCCCCTCTGTGCTGATATTCCCTTCTAGCAGAACGTAACTCTGACTAGACAAGATCACTTCATAATAGCACCAAAGATGGTCGCATGACCCCACTGAATCAATACTTTTTTCTATCTCTGTGCACCGTTCTCCGCCCCTAACAGCCCCACCGCAAGCCCCTGCTTGGTCGCCATCGCCCTCGTGCTGCCTCTATGACTGCCACTGAAATCGCCAAACTCGCTCTCGGAGACGCGGGTTCGAATCCTGGCGAACGCGGTTCCACCCGCCACAGCAGCCCCCTCCGCAACGATAGCCCTGCCCGCGTGCACCCGAGCAGCAACGTCCCTGCTCGATTCGGTATAAGCACTGGTGTGAATCAGAGCATTTGCGTGAATAGAAGCGTTGGCGTGAAGCAATCCGGTCCTGTTCGGTGTTTTAGCGCGGATGGCGAAGGCCCCATTGCTACCAACGGGTTTGAGAATCAGAGCTGGGCTGCTCCAAGGGGTGGTGCTGCTGTCGTTCTTGGGATTGAGCCTGCAAGAAAGGCCTGGGACGAGACTGGAGGTGAGGAGTTGGCGTGGCAGACGCAGCAGCAACAGCAGCAACTCCACCACCACCAGCAGCAGCACAGGCAACCTCACTCTGACCTGTATCAGCCCTCTAATCTCTACCGGCCTCGGGTGACTTCCGAGCACCGCCATCAGCACCAAACTCCCTATGAGCACCAAACGTCCTATGAGCACCGAACGTCTCTTCAGCACCGGACGTCGCGCCATGGGCATGCTCGGTCTGCCTCCGGACCCATCTCCTTCCTTGCCTCCCCCCCCTCCTCGCCCCCACGCCGCCCGGCTCCCACTAGCCGCCTTGCCCAATCCGCCCTTTCTGCTGCTGCGCCAGTCGATCACAGGCAGCAGCAGCACCACCAACTCCACCAGCAGCAGCAGCAGCAGCAGCAGCAGCAGCAACATTATGATCCTCATCAGCAGCAGCAGCAGCAGCAGCAGCAGCAGCTGGCCCCGTATGGGCAAAGGAACGGAATCAGAGGCGGAGAGGAGGAGTTAGCGATTGGCAGAGAGCAGGGAAGCGGGGACGAGGGCGAGGGCGAGTGGGTGGACGGGGACGCCGAGTGGGAAGGGGAGACCCCCAAAACTCACCAGCCCCAAGTCCGCCACCTGCCGCTCCTGCAACACCGCCTCTTCCAGCAGCAGCAGCTGCACCACCCGCAGCACCACCAGCACCAGCAGAACCAGCAGCAGCAGCAGCACCAGCAGCACCAGCAGCAGCACCAGCAGCAGCACCAGCAGCAGCAGCTGCAGCAGCAGCAGCAGCAGCAGCACCACCACCACCACTCCCAGCGTGCACCAGTCCCCTTGCATGCTCGGTCCCGCCGGACTGTGTCCGCCCTTCCGTCTGCCGTCCTGAGTAGCGACTTCTCCTGGGACGGTGGCCAAACGGCCGGCCTCTCTCGCCCCCGAAACTCCTCTGTGGATTCCCCTTGTTCCGCCTCTCACCCTTACGCCCACTCTCACACCCACTCTCACTCCCACTCACATCCTCACCCCCGCCCTCACTCTCACGCTCGTTCCGCCAGCTACCAATTCCCGATAAGCTGCCACCGATTCCTCTCCTCGGAAATCCAAAGCGGAGGCTACGCTGGCTCGTTTCGGTCGTCCCCTGCCAGCAGCTCAGGGGGCGACGACAGAGAGCAAGCGGCGGAAGAAGAGGCGGAAGAAGAGGCGGAAGAAGAGGAATGGGGGGATCGGGGGGAAGGGGGGAAGAGGGGGGAAGGACAGCAGGGTGCGGGGCAAAGTGAGTGCTTTGAGGAGTCGGATTTGTACGAGGATCAGGTGATGAGTGAGGCGTGGAGAGGGGGGGAGGTGCGGGGAGCGGAGAGGGAGATGGTGACTGCAGCAGCAGCTGCTGTTAAGGAACTGGGGCTGCCTGACTCAGCAGCGGAAACTGCCACGGAGGATGAGTGGACAGGGCTGGAGCGAGGGGTGGGGATCCGTGGGGATGGGCGTGGGAGAGGTAGTGGTGTGGGGATGGGAGGAGGGGAGAGGGGAAGGCTGCAAAGGGATGTGGTGTATGGGAATGGGGGGGTGAGGGGGGAGGGGAGCTTAGGCGGGAAGAGGATGAGGGCTGAGGTGAGTGATGAGCTGATGAAGAGACTCATGTTCGATGGTGTGGGCTTGGTGGGAGACGACGGAGCGGAGGCGAGACAGCAGCAGCAGCCGTGTTCTGAGGCGCCTCCTCCGAAGGTAACGGGTGATCTGACCAAGGGACTGATGTTTGCTGGCGAGGGCATGGAGGGGGGTGCTAAGGAGGCGTTGGCAGGGCAGCAGCCTTGCTTTGAGACGCCCCAGAAGGAGGTGCGTCTGCAAGTTACGGACGAGCTCCTGAAGCTACTGATGTCTGATGATGATGATGATGATGATGATGATGATGATGATGGGCGTGTGGAGCGAGGCGATGGAGGGAAGGCGAGCAGACAGCCGCCATGGCTTGAGGCGCGCCCAAAGGCTGCGGATGAGCTGCTGCAGCTGCTGACGTCTGACGATGATGAGCGCGTGGAGGGGAGTGCCGGGGAGGGGCGGCTGCAACTGATGCAGCCACTGCGAATACAGCAGATGCCGCAGCAGCAGCAGCAGCAGCAGCAGCAGCAGCAGCAGCAGCAGCAGCAGGGTAAGCGGGCACCTCCTGAGGAGCTCTTTCAGGAAGGCCAAGACTCTTCCACACGAACCAGTGTGCCACGTGCAGCGAAGGCTGGCCATGCAGGAGGGCTAAACACTGGCCATGTCCGAAGCCTACGGCCGGGTCACGTGCGTGGCTTGAGCGAAGCAAGTGGTCTTCTGGAAGGCAAGGGAGAGTGGAGGAGCGAGGAGGATGAAGGAGAGTACACAGAGTGGGACCAAGGGAGCGAGTACGAGGGTGGGGCAGGTCGAGAAGCGCGGGGAAGGGGTGTGGAGGCAAGCGGAATCAGCAACAGAGGGCCCAGGCCCTTGACTCCTGGGAACCGATGGGATGGTGAGGAGTCTATTTTTAAGGCGCCTCAAAAATGGGATGGTGAGGAGAAGCAGGGGAGGAGAGGAGAGGGCGACAACAGAGGAGGCAGGGCTTTGACCCCTGGGAACAGATGGGATGCAGCGGAGAGGCAGGAGCGGCAGGGGAAGGGTTTTGAGACGCCTCAAAACTGGAAGGGAGAGGATGGAATAGAAAGTGGCAGAGCCAGACCCTTGACCCCTGGAAACCGAGTGGAGGCAGAGGAGCGGCAGGAGCGGCTGGGGAAGAGAGGAGAAGGAAGCAAGGGTAAGAATAGAAGGGAGACTGGGGAAGAGATCGAGGGCAAGAGCCGTGGGGAGAGGGGAGAAGGCAGCAAGAGTAAGAGCCGGCGCACTCAAAGCCTGGGAGGGTCTCTGGATAGTGGAAGTATGGGAATGGAGGGTGTGTGGAACGACAGGTGTGGGCAGGAGGACAGGAAAGGGCGACGAGAAGAGGAGAAGGGGAAGGGAAAGCGGAAGCCGGATGCAAAGGAAGTGGGAGCGGCGTGGGATGCAGTGGGTACGATCATGAGGGGAGAGCGGGAGGGAGGGGGTAGGAAAGCAGTGGGGAGAGAGGAGAGGAGAGGGAGGCAGGAGAGAGAGGAAGTGAGAGGGGAGCCGGTAGGCGAGGGAGGGAGGGGAGCGGGTGGGAAATCTGCTAAGAAGCAACCTTTGGGTAAGAATCAGGGGCAGCAGCAGCAGCAGCAGCAGCAGGAGGAGGAGGAGGAGCAGCAGCAGCAGCAGCAGCAGGAGGAGGAGGAGGAGGAGGAGCAACCGCCGCCAGAACCACAGCCCAAGTCCCACATCACTCGCCTCCCCTCGGCCTCCCTGCAGGCCTTTCACCAGGAGACAGGCACTCCCCTCCCCCTCGTCTCCGAGGTGCCTCTCGAGTCAACGCCTAGGTCCCGCCTCACCCGCCGTTCCTCCGCCTCCCTGCAGGCCTTTCACCTGGAAACAGGCACGCCCCTCCCTCTCGCCTCCGTCGTCATCCCCCCCGACATTGCTGATTTTTTCGACTCTGACCCGGCGGCAACCCTTGACAGGGCAGGCGAAAAGCTTTCATCTAAACATGGGGGCGCATGGGAGGGAAAGACTGAGGAGCGGAAGCATGACGGGGGTTGGCAAAACCCACCTGGCCCGACTGTTGAGTCGCCTCGAAAGACGCGTGGTGATGGGGATAGTGCCGATAGGCGAGGACAAGAATGGAGCAAAAGCGCCACCTGTCCCGTCCCTCCTGCTTCCGGCCCTCCTCACGGTGGCGAAGATTCACTCTCAGCAGCTCTTGTTCCTGCTGTTCGAGCTTGTACCACACCTGGAGCAGCTACTAGCGGGACAGCAGGTGAGGAATCTGCCACAAGCCGCTTCAAAAGAGGACAGCCGAGGGAAAGCGGCGCATGTGATACGCCTAAGAAGAAAGCAGCAGCAGCAGCAGCAGCAGCAGCGCAAGGGGGCGAGCTTGCGAGCTGCGTGACGGTGAAGGAACGGGCGATGAGAAGGGGACCTCTGGCTGGAGCGCTGGAGGAGCTTCAGCTTGGGGATGGGACTCTTGAGGTTGGCCTTGGGGGAGAAGCCAGTGAGGCGGCTGGGACTGTTCCCACCTTGAGCCCTGCGAAATCTGCCTCTGGAGATAGTGGGATTGGCGCCAGTGGGGTGTTTGGGAAAGGTGGGTTTGGGAAGGGCGGATTTGGGAAAGGTGGGTTCGGGGTGGTTGGGTTTGGGAAAGCTGCCACAGTGCAGGATAGGCGACGGAGGCCAGACAGCGATGGCACTGGCACTGGTGCTGGTGGTGGTGATGGTGGTGGCAGCAAGCAGGGGGTGAGGGATGGGAAGGCGCAGGGCAAGGCGAGGGCATGGGGAAGGATGGCGAGCGTTCAAGTGCTTGGGAGGAAGTACAATGGAGGGAGACATGAAGGAGTGGGCAGGAAGGAGCGTGAGGCAAGCACTGACCCCGTTGACCCTGTTGACTGCGTTGACCCAGCTCATCCTGTGGACCAAGCTGAGTGCGTTGACCAAGAAGGCCCCGTTGACTCTGTTGAGCCCGCCGTCCCTGTTGTCCCCGTTGACCCCGTTGACCATGAATATTTTGCCAAACGGAAGCAGGAGCTGTATGGAAAGTCAAAGAGCCAGCCAGGCATACGGCCGAAGGCGGCCGACCCAAACTTGCACACTGCCGCCGCCGCTGCTGCTGCTGCTGCAGAGCCGTCCTCTGCCGCGTCTCTCTTCAAGAAAATGGTCACTGCCAAGGGGCTCAAGCGCGCTGCTGGGATCAGCAGCAGCAGCAGCAGCGGCATCAGCGGCACCAGCAGCAGCGGCAGCGGCAGCGATATGAGCGGGAGCGGCACCAGCAGCAGCATCAGCAGCAACGTCGGCAGCAGCAGCATCAGGCGCAGTATGAGCAGCATTCCTAGCCGACTTGACGGCGACATGAAAGGCAAAAGCAAGGACTTTGTGAAGGATGAACTGGACCTTATAATAGGGGAGTTCCTTTCCAGGCCTAAGACTGCATCCAAGCCCAGTGCGAAAGACCCCCAGGGGTCTAAGACCAGCAAGGACGTGAGGGCAGAAGCCGGGGGGAGGGATAGCAGGAGAGGGAAGGAGGAGAAGAAGGGTGGAGGAATGGCCAGTGTGATTCGAAAAGAGGCCCTGATGGGTATCTTTCCGCGAGTAGGGTCAAATGACAGTAAAGGGGATGGGTATGTGGAGGACGGGGAGGAAAAGGGCAGAGCCGAGAAAGGGCTGTTCCCTAGATCGGGCTCGAATGACTCTAGTGCCGGGTCTACTGGCTCAGGAATGGGCGGGTCGGAAGGTTCTCAGAAGGAGACCACGGCAGGGTTGTCTCTGTTTGGCAAGATGGCAACTGGTAGACTGGTTAGAGCTAAAAAGCACCCTGACAAGCACTCTGAGAAACAATCTCCTCAGCATGGATCTTCCCCTCACCAGCAGCACGAGACACAGCCACAGCAGGAGCAGAGGGACCACCGGCATCAGGAGGAGCAGGAGCAGCAGGACCAGGAGCAGCAGCAGCAGCAGAAGAAGAAGCAGGAAGAAGGGGGCGTGTGCGATGGTGCAGCTGGTGGGGGAGGAGGGGAAGGGGAAAAGAAGGGAAAGCAGAGAAAGAAGAATAAGAAGGGGTTTCTCAAGGTCCCTGGCTCCCCTGTCAACCATGTGCTCTCACTCGTCCTCAAGGGCCCCCTGGCTTTGCACAAGGGCAGAGCAGGCTCGGGGGAGGGAGACACTGCTGGTGAAAGGGATGGGGGGGAGGACGGAGACGAGGCTGCAGGACAAGCCTCCAGCAGTAATAGCAACAGTAACAGTCAGAACTACACTAACTCTGGTGCTGATTTTGACACGTGGGATATACTGATGGTGGGACCGGATGGGAGGGATCCTCTTAGTGAGGATGAGGATGAGTGGGAGGGGATGGAGGAAGAGGAGGCGGATAAGGTTTGTCCTCTGAGTGAGCCGAGCCAGTGGCTTCAGCACCACCAAATGCGGCATTGACAGCACCAATTGTAGTAGAACCTTCATTTGGAGACTTTGATTGCGAACCCAGCATTCTTATTGTTGAGGTGTACTAGACTAGCTTTTCATTTATTTTGTTATGAGATGTTATGCTCCTTTTATTTTGCAATGCTCCTGCTTATCATATGAGCATTTTAGCATTTTTTTGGGTCATCACTCTTTAGGAAATCATTTTAGGGTAGTACACTCCATTGTTCAAGGATCTTTGTGTTTACTCTCATCTAACTTCATGTGAGCTTGATGGCATGATGACGCTTATCTACATTTAGATCGATACTTATCTGTAGTCACAACATAACGGGTAGAAGAATAAAGAATCACACGTATGCCTGCCTGCCACGTGGACCGGATGTGAAGTTCCGCGCGAGCTCAGTTCCCCCACAACTTCCCCGCTTCCACTCGTCTTCCCCGGCGTGAATTTTCCGCCCGCGCCACTTTTCCCGCCCCTCTGCTTTGCGCCGCCCCCATCCTCCCCCTCGTGTTTCATTGCCTCATAGATTATTCCAGATTACCTCCCGAGTCACTCCTAGACTAGCGCTCTGGTGTCATTAGCGTAGCTGCGGGTGGCTCTTATTTCCATCAGGCGGATCGCTAGTCTACGGATCTTTTCCGTCGCCTTTGCGCGGGATCCCGTCCCCCGGCGGTGAAGTTGCGGAGCATGGACCGCCTAGTGTGCCATTCCGCCGTTGCCCCGCAGACCCTCGCCGCGCCACTGCGCGCCGATTTGAGCTCGCGGAAAGGCGCGGTTGCAGCGGTTACCGTGCCGCGATCGGCGTCGCGGACTAAGCTCGATGCTTGCGTGGCGAGCCGCGCCCACGTGGGCGCGAAGCAGCTGATGGGTCAGAGCCTCCATTCGGCGACGGAAGTGCTGCGATCGCGACACGTGGCGGGAGAGGATTCGCGCGGAAGACGAGGAGTCGTCGAGATGGTGCGTTGCTGGTTCATTAGAAGGATAGCCGCATCGCGCTTACGACGCAAAATCGTCAAGTGGCTTATCAGCGTTCGCGCAGCCGGGACGCTCTTCACAGTATGAGCTGAATCGCGACTAGGATAGCCCTGCTACAGTAACCTTACACGAATGGTGGCCGCACTGTAGCAGCTCCAGGACGGAAGGGGAGAAGGGGAGAAGGGGGTTTGGCAGGCACACAGCAGGTCGTCTCCGGCAATCCCGAGGGTCACGGCAATCCCGAGGCTTAAAAACTTACTTCTCTTGAGACGAGAGTGACAGCAATCCCAAGGTTCTCGAAAAATCCCAATGTTTACGCACTCCCGAGGTTATGGGCCCAAGTCACGGCAATCCCAAGGGTCACGGCCACACGTCTGATGCTCATCCAGTGTGCACGGGGTCTAATTTTGAGGTGTGCACGGGGTCTAATTTTGAGGTGTGCACGGTAGCCTCAAAAGTAGAATCCAGTGTGCACGGCCATGGCGCTTTAGTCTCCGAGGCTCCTTGGCGAAACCCCGTCGTGAGACGTCGAAATACAATCCGTCTGTTCCTCATTCCGCATTCCGCATTCCCGCATTCCGCATTCCGCAATCCGCATTCCGCATTCCGCATTCCGCATTCCGCATTCCGCATTCCGCATTCCGCATTCCGCATTCCCGCATTCCGCTTTCCCCCATTCCGCATTCCGCATTCCCCCACTACCGCAGGTCATCCCCTTCCAAAAGGGCGAGGCGACCCAGCAGCCGCCCCCCGACCTGCCGTCGTACCTGTTCAAGAACCGCATTGTGTTCCTCGGCATGTCGCTCGTGCCGTCCGTGACGGAGCTCATCATGGCCGAGCTGCTTTACCTCCAATACGACAGCCCCGAGAAGCCCATCTACATGTACATCAACTCCACAGGCACCACCAAGGTACTTTACTGTACTGTACTGCATTGTATTGTATTGTTTTGTATTGTATGTATCCGCGTTGTAGTACACCTCATCATGGCCGAGCTGCTGTTTCTCCAATACGACAGCCCCGAGAAGCCCATCTACATGTACATCAACTCCACAGGCACCACCAAGGTACAGACAGTGCTCCCTTTTGGGACACCTTATCGTGGCCGAGCTGCTGCTGCTGCGGGGGGCGGCTGCCTGCTGCTGTGGGGGCGGCTGCTCTTTCAGTAAAACAGCCTGAAGCAGACGGTTTGCATGTGTATTAACTCCACTGGGGCAACGATAGTACTTCGGTCTAACCTTATGTATACCATCCACTTTTGAGGCGCCTCAAAAGTCATCCATGAGTGGTGCATCAGTGAAGTAAACCACACACACACACACATGACTTTCTTCTCTCTTTTTGTTCCCTCGAGAGACGCTGACAGGTTTTTTCGCTTGTCTCCTTTGAGAGAAGCTTTGGGGGCCGCCGTGCCGTGAGGCTCCTCCTCACACACAGCCGGTGATGCCTTTGAGTCGACTCAACAGCAAACCCTTTTCTCTCGCTTTCTCTTGCTTCGCCTCCTCCTCCCCTCCCCCCCCCCCAATTTCTCAGGACGGAGAGAAGCTGGGATATGAGACAGAAGCCTTTGCAATCTACGACACCATGCGGTCAGTGCTCCTCTCCCTCCGCTTCCTTCCTGCTCTGTTCCTTTTCCCCCCTTCCTGTGTCACAACAATCCCTTAGCAATCTTCTCTCTCCTGACACCATGCGGTCAGTCCCGCTTTCCTGTCCTGACGTACTCGCTTCCCCTTCCCCGGCCCACACGCTCCACCTCCCTCCATTCCGTCACCATGCAGTCAGTGCTCCCCTCCAACCATGCGCTCCACCTCCACCTCCCTTCCCTTCTCCTTCCGCTTCCTAGTTTTGAGGCGCCTCAAAACCTTTCGCTTCCTGCTCTGCTCCTTTTCCCTCCCTGCCCCTGACGCACTCTCTTTTCCCTCCCTGCCCCTGACGCACTCTCTTTTCCCTCCCTGCCCCTGACACACTATCTTTTCCCTCCCTGCCCCTGACGCACTCTCTTTTCCCTCCCTGCCCCTGACACACTATGAACACCATGTGGTATCCTCCGCACACCATGCGGTCGGTGCTCCCTTCCCTTCCCGCGTTTCTCGCTTCCCCTGCCTGCTGCTAACTCCTACAGATTCACTTCCTCGCGTCTCCCGCTTCTTCTCTTTCCCTTCAAGGTGTTTTTTTGAATTCTCAAGAACATCCTGCAATATCTTCTGCCCGCTTCTTCCCTTTCCCTTTAGCAAGCGGTGGCTTGTCTGCCACTAGAATGGGCTGCTGTTACCTCCGTCTCTCTACTCGCCCCATTCCCCCTCCCCCCTCCCCCATCCCCCCACCCTCTCTCCCTCTCCCTTCCTCCCTATTCCTTCCGGTTCTCCCAGCTACGTGAAAAGAGAGGAGACAAATTCTGAGGCGCCTAGAAAATGGACTGCCCAATCTTCACTCTCTGCATGAGCAACATGCGGGGAGAGGCGGCTCTGCTGCTACTGGCCGGGTCCAAGGCCAACCGGTCCATGCTCCCGTCGTCATCCATCGTTCTCAAGCTGCCCATCTCATGTTCCCCTCCTCCCCTCCTTTTCCCCCCTCCTCCCCGCCTTGTCCCCCCCCCCTCTAATTCCCCAGCTACGTGAAACCCCCGATCTTCACCCTCTGCGTCGGCAATGCGTGGGGCGAAGCAGCCTTGCTGCTGAGTGCAGGGTCCAAGGGCAACCGGTCCGCGCTGCCGTCGTCGTCCATCATGCTCAAGCAGCCCATCTCGCGGTTCAGGGGGCAGGCGACGGACATTGACATCATGCGCAAGGAAGTGCGGAACGTGAAGACAGAGCTGGTAGGTGCATGTCATGGGCTTCAAGTGGTTTGTGCTTGATGTATGTTCTGCGGTGCCTCAAAACAGGCCACTGACACTGATATCATGTACATTGAAAAATGTGTGCCTTTTTTGGTGTGTTTTGGTGTCTTTTGGGTCGACTCAAAAGATGCCATGTACATTTATATATGTGTGCCCCTTGTTTCTTTGTGTTTTGGTGCCTCTGTTTTCCCTCCAGGTGAAGTTGTACTCGCGGCACACAGGCAAGTCGGAGGAGACGATAGAGAACGACATCAGGCGCCCGATGTACCTCACTCCTGATGCTGCTGTGGAGTACGGCATTATTGACAAGGTGAGGCTAGCATCGCATTAGTGATGAGGTGAGAGCAGGTGGCATAATTGACAAGGTGAGACTGTCTGGGGAGACGATAGAGAACGACATCAGGCGCCCGATGTACGTCACTCCTGATGCTGCTGTGGAGTACGGCTTTATTGACAAGGTGAGACGTCTATTCTGGCGGGCACTGTTTACAAGGTGAGAGCTTGTCAAATTGCTGACAAAGTTGGAACTGCATTGCTCTGTTGGGGAAAGCAGTCTTTTCCCGTAATGCTTCACAAGCTGAGGCTGTTGTCGCAGTGATGCCTTGCAGTCATTCGAAAGATTCACCTCGGGGGGCTGTAACCATGTTTGGGAAAAGAATGCCATGCTGGTCCACTCAGTGTTACCGATGGGTGGTTGACTTGATGGCATTGTCAAACGAGAAGGTCAAGCTACACTTGCCATGTATCAGCCTTGATGCCATGCAGCCTCCCACATTATTGTGTTGTGTTTCTGGTTGCGCAGGTTCTCGACACAGACGCCAAGAACGATAGTGTCGTCGACTCCCTTCGCAAACGGCAACTGATCTGAGCTCGCACTGAAGTCTTCACAAGCTTTACTCGATTTAGGCAACTGCAGGGATCTCCAGCCAGATAGTAAATACTGCTAGTTGTTTCCGCAGAAGCTTGTACGCCTGGATTGGACTAGTTGTTGTTCATTTCAGGTGTTTCTGAACAGGCCACGATGTACTACAGGTCATATGCGATTGGTGCAACGACGACTAGCGCAAAATTTTCGCAGGTGCAATTATTCCGTAAGTGCAACACCCATGTACGCACCCGGCCAATGAAAAAAGATCAGCCTGTCAACTTATACATATTAGCTATGTAGAAGTTATAGGCTAGACTGAGGTATGCTTCTAGTGAGTACAACCAACTAGTACGTACTTGTTCTAGGTTTCCACTTCTAGTAAATCATTCAGTTCTTACTTTAACATGGTATCACGCGTAGGTTAGAATCCCCCACCTACCGTTTCTGCCCGTACCCTAGCTAGGCCCCGTCGCGCCCCCCCCCCCCCCCCCCCCCTCCCCCATGGGGCCCCGTCGCGCCTCCTAGCCCCGTCGCGCCCCTCCTGGGCCCCGTCGAGCCTCCTAGCCCCATCGCGCCCCTCCTGGGCCTTGTTGCGCATCCTAGCCCCGTCGCGCCCCTCCTGGGCCCCATCGCGCCCCTCCTGGGCCCAGTCGCGCCTCCTAGCCCCGTCGCGCCCCTCCTGGGCCCCGTTGTGCCTCCTAGCCCCGTCGCGCCTCCTAGCCCCGTCGCGCCCCTCCTGGGCCCCGTCGCGCCTCCTAGCGCCCCTCCTGGACCCCGTAGCGCCTCCTAGCCCTGTCGCGCCCCTCCTGGGCCCCGTCGCGCCTCCTAGCCCTGTCGCGCCCCTCCTGGGCCCCGTCGCGCCCTGCCTGGCCCCGTCGCACCCGCTAGGCCCCGTCGCGCCCTGCCTGGCCCCGTCGCGCCCGCCTGGCCCCGTCGCACCCTGCCTGGCCCCGTCGCGCCCTACCTGGCCCCGTCGCGCCTGCCTAGCCCCTCTGCGCTTGCCTGGCCCTGCCGCGCCTGCCTGGCCCCACCGCGCCTGCCTGGCCCCGCCGCGCCTGCCTGGCCCCGCCGCGCCTGCCTGGCCCCGCCGCGCCTGCCTGGCCCCGCCGCGCCTGCCTGGCCCTGCCGCGCCTGCCTGGCCCCGCCGCGCCTGCTTGGCCCCGCCGCACGTGCCTGGCCCTGCCGCGCCTGCCTGGCCCCGCCGCACCTGCCTGGCCCCTCCGCGCCTGCCTGGCCCCGCCGCGCCTCCCTGGCCCCGCCGCGCCTGCCTGGCCCCGTCGCGCCTGCCTGGCCCCGCCGCGCCTGCCTGGCCCCTCCGCGCCTGCCTGGCCCCACCGCGTCTGCCTGGCCTCTCCCACTGCCCGCCCGGCCCATCTTCGTGCCTGCTCGTCCTGCGGTGCCACCTCGGGCTCCGTCTACTCTGCTCGCCAGTGCTGAGGCGCCTCGTGGCCGCCGTGCTGGAGAGTGCTGCCGCCATGTTCCTGTGGAGCTGTGCCGCTGACCCTGCACGATGGCTGACTTTGTGCTCCGACTGGACGCCGAGGGCCATGCGGTTGACTTCGCCGCCTGGCTCTCCGATCTCCGCCGCCACCTTACAGGTCAGCGCTAGGATGGCCACTCTTTGGTTGTCCATGTCGATGGCTTGCTCCCCCGCCCCCTTGCCCCTGCTCCCCTCCCTGCTGATCCCTCCTCTGATGACCGTGAGGCCTTCTCTACTGCTGCTGGTCTGGGACTCCCGCGATGCAGTAGCTCAGGTTGCTATTAGTCACGCCCTCCCTGTGTCTGAGCGCTCGCGTTTTGCTACTGTTGAGACGGCCAAAGCTTACTTAGCCGCCGTTATTGCTCGCTATTCCACACCCGCGTCTGCTTCTGCTGGCCGCTTGCTCTTCCCGATGCTGTTCCCAGACCTTGCAGCCTTCCCTACCGTCGCAGACTTTGCCACTCACCTGCGTGCCCTAGAGACCCGCTATCGCACTGCCAGCACTGCTGCCCAGCTCACTGCGCCCCCCCCCCCCTTTCTGCATGACGCTCTATTTTATCGCCATGCGCCTGCCAGACCGCCTCGCTAGTGCTCACGATCACTTCCTTAGCCAGCACCCGGGTGACCTCACCCTCACCATCTTTTGTCGACACCCTCACCGAGATCGAGACTCGTCAGCGCACTATCGCTCAGTCGAGCGGTGCGCCGGCAGTCTCTATCTTTCACGGCTGTGCCCCCTCCCAGTGCACGTTCACTGTCGTTTCGGCTGCGGTCGCCACGGCGACCCCTCTCACCGAGACGGCTGCTGCGGTCCACCCGCAGCAGCGCTCGCGCCGCGGTGGCCGTGGTCGCCAGGGAGGTAGGGGTGGTGTCGCAGGTGGTGGTGGTGGTGGTGGTGGTGGTGACGGTAGTCCGCCTGCGGGGACTACCACTGGTGGGCAGGAGCAGCAGCCCCAGCCGCAGCAGGAGCAGCCCCAGCCGCAGCCGCCGCCCCAGCAGCAGCCGCCGTCCCAGCAGCAGTCGCCGTAGCCGTGGGCTCGTCTCCCACCTGGCTGGTCCGGCACTTCCGGAGGTAGTGGCCGTGGTGGCGGCCCGCGCAGCTTGGCGTCTACCGGCGGCTCCGGTGCTGTGACCTGCCAGTACCAGCTTCAGACCGGGCCTCTTCGCGGCACTCTGTGCCGCCGCCCGCACCCGATCGCCCGCTGTTTCCGCCGCCTCGACGATCTCTTTCGTCGTCGCTTTGGCCCGGCCCCGGACCTCCCCGACTGGCACAGCCTGCTCCGCCAGGGCGTGCCGATCTTTGAGTTAGACATGGATCAGATAGGTGCTGCTTTGCATGCTTTGTATTCTGACGCTTCTAGTGTTGCTGGATCTTATTACCCTGTGTACTCTAGTTTAGGTGTTGCACCATTGTGTAGCTTAGCCTCCCCTGCTGCGTCAGGCGTAGGACTGCCTAGGTTGCCTAGTCTAGTCGCTGCACCGGCTCCGTCCCCGGCCTCCGCCACTGCTTCGCTGTCCTTCACTCCCGACTCCGGTGCTTCTGCCTGCTTCTTCCGCGACCGTTCCACGCTCACGCCGCTTGCTGCGCCTGCTGTTGTCTCTCTCGCTGACCCCTCTGCGGGTCCTGTCGTCGCTCGCAATTCTACGTCCCTTCCATGTCCAGCAGTTCCCTCGGGCTCCCTTACAGGCCTCCACGTTCCCTCGTTCTCGAGGAACCTGGTTGGTGTCGGCTGTCTCCAGGACCTCGGCGTCACCACCACGTTCCCCGGGCACGAGCGGTTCGCTGTCTGTTCTGAGGCTGTCTCAGGTTCCCCCCTTGCGACGTTCCCCCGGGACCCGGTGTCCGGTCTGTTTACCCTAGACATCGCTTCCCCCCCGGTTGGTGCGTCCTCCCAGGTCGCTGCAGCTTGCTCGTGTCGGTCCCTTACTCACCCGTCCCTTCTCTGGCACCACCGCTTAGGTCACCCTTCTCTCCCGCGTCTGCGTCACATATCCCAGCACGGTCTTGTCTTAGGTCTCCCCGCGTCGCTCCCTGCCCTTCCTCCCTCGACTGCGCCACCGTGCACGCCTTGCGTGGAGGGTCGGCTCCGCCGTGCTCCTCACTCCTCCTCGCTGCACCCTGCTACTGCCCCCCTTCAGACCTTGCATCTGGACGTTTGGGGCCCTGCCCCCGTCCCCGGACCGCGCGGTGAGCGCTACTTCCCTTGTGCTCGTCGATGACTATACGCGCTACACCACGGTGTTTCCCTTGGAGCGGAAGGCCGACGTGCCCGACGTTCTTCTCCCGTGGGTTGTGGCTGCGCGTCTCCACTGCAGACTCGTCTCCGGCCCGTCTTCCTCCTCGTTCCCCTCCTGTGTCATGTCCCCTGACCCTACACCTCCGTCTCACGTTTGGGCTCGCCGTCCCTCCCGTGCTCGTCCCGTCTCTCCTGTCCTGCCCACCCACCCTATGTTGCTCCGTTCTTGCTTGTCTCGTCCTCCCCTCCTCTCGTCCCCTCCTCCCTCGTCCCTTGCTGTTGCACCTCCTCCGTTCTCTGACTACCTCCGTGCCGCTCGTCCCCTTGTCCCTCGGGTCCTTGCCTCTCTTGTTACCGACCCTGCTGTTCCTGTCTCGCGCTTTGACGCGCTTGTCGCTGCTGTCGCTGACTTCGCCTCTACCCGCCGCCTTGACTACGCTACCGCTCTAGTCTCTGACCCTGCCCGTCCTCCGTCCGTCGGGGGTGCTCCTGCCCTTGGCAGTGACGTTCTAGAGGACAGGCAGTACGAGCTTGCTTTCCTTTCCGAGGCTGCTCCCCATCTTTGCTCCATGCTGTTAGTCCGTGAGGGTGACCCAGACACCTTCGACATCCCGACCCCTCGCACCTACGCTGAGGCCACCTCGGGACCTTGGGCCTCTCAGTGGATAGCTACCATGGAGCAGGAGATGGCATCTTGGAGGTCCACCGGCACTTACGTCGACGCAGTTCCCCCGCCTGGGGTGAACGTAGTCGATGGTCGGTGGCTCTTCAAGGTGAAGCGCCCCCCTGGAGAGCCGCCTGTCTTCAAGGCGCGCTACGTGGCTAGAGGTTTCAGTCAGCGAGAGGGGGTTGACTTCTTCCAGACCTTCGCCCCGACCCCGAGGCCGAGCTTCTGAAGAGACACACCTGCACTGACCTTGGAGAGCTGCGTCGCTATCTTGGCTTGCAGATCTCTAGGGACAGAGCAGCACGCACCATCACTCTGACACAGTCACACTTGGTGCGTCAGGTCCTTCAGAGGTTCGGTCTTCAGTTCTCCTCCGCACAGCCCACACCTCTACATGTAGACCATGGGCTCTCTGCTCCCGTTCCTAAGGAGCCAGTAGAGCCCACTGGCCCCTACGCAGAGCTAGTGGGTTGCCTCATGTACCTGATGACTTGCACTCGCCCAGATCTCGCATACCCTCTCAGCATCCTGGCTCGCTTTGTGGCTACAGGCAGACACCGACCTCAGCACTGGTCTGCCGCTAAGGGGGTTTTGCGTTATCTTGCTAGTACATCGGGCATGGGGTTAGTGCTAGGAGGACGCAGGCCAGTGATCCTTACTGGGCACACAGACGCTTCTTGGGCAGACGACTCTGAGACGCTCAGGTCGTTGCAGGGCTACTGTTTTAGCCTTGGTTCGGGTGCTATCTCTTGGAGATCCACTCGCTCGTCGTCTGTGGCTCAGTCGAGCTGTGAGGCTGAGATCTACGCTGGTGCCATGGCGGCACAGGAGCTCCGCTGGCTAACCTTCTTGCTCACAGACTTAGGTGAGCGGCCTAGCTCTTCCCCGGT